AGTTTGAAGGTAACAGTCATAATTACGTGGGCATACCTCTTTCCTCGCCAAAATACCTGCCAAGATCGGTCTTCACCAGTGGAGCCAATAACATTTAGAAAAGAGAACAGACTTTCTACTTCTTCTGAACTGGACCTCCATTAGCCTTACAAGCTTGCGTAATAACCGAAGATAGTCTAAATGGAGCTTCTATCGTTAGCTACTTTTCTAATGACTTCTGTCGCAGATGTTTGGTTCAGGTAGTATCAGTAGAGTAGTACATCTGCCACAGAATTTCGCTTCAGGGTCGGCAATCACTTTGGAGTCATTATGTACTCAATAATCGGCATCTATAAAGCTGAGCAGGTCTATTGTTCACAGGTCCGCAATAGGTAACACCCCGGGTCAGCAGGTCTAAGTGCGCCGAATGGAGAGTTGTCTATGCTAGTATGCGTAGGGTCACAGGTTCGAGTCCTGTTGCTTCCTCCTGAACACGGATTTTTACATTCCTCCAAGTGTATTTCTGGCATGAGAGAGAATCTTCTCATAAATATCCATCAGTCGTTCGGAGGAAACTTAGAATGGACTCTACAACCCTCTATTGGTTGAAAAAAACATAAAGACGCGAGTTATGAATTTGAGAAAGTGTTGGGTTTAAAGCGCCAATTACATAAATGCATGCAAGGATATACACCATTAGCTGAATGTCTACGATGAGCAACTTTTCGAGTCTGGAAATTGTTTATCGAGAGAGGACTTCCCTTCCTATTTACTCACTCAGCCCAACGTAACAGCTGCTGGTGATGACTCGGAGCAAAATCGACCCATTTCGAAAGTGGTCATGGTCGAAGGGCAGTGAGCCATCACAGATGGACTCCAAGCCGCGATTGATGACCAGAAATGTTTAGTTGTGTATTTTGAAGTACTGACCAAGAATCATCCACAATGCGCTGCTCCCCTACGGTCAAACTCTCAAATGGAAACCACGCTATCAACAACTTGACAGTCAGAAGGAAGTGATCACCCAGTAGCGCCCAGCTTAGGCCAACAGTAGGGGAATGGTGTTTTATCAGGACAACGCCAGACCATACACTTCGATAGTGTATCGCCAGAAGCTCCGAGAGTTTGGTTGGGAGGTTATTATAGTACGGACCTCGCGGCAATAGTTTGCCATCTGTTACTGTCTAAGGCGAATGATTTGGCTGGTGAGGAAATGTAAATTTTTTTACGGGACATCACATCGATTAATTTATGTCTATTAAGGTTATGAGGATTTTCTCCAGCGTAGTATTGCATGCCTGTTTATATTTAAAAAATACAAATATTTGTTAGCGCCAGCGGAAAAATAAACAAATATTTAATTAAAAAAAATTCATAGAATTCTCATAAATATTTCAAAATAAGTGTCTTCTTCCACATAGCATGCATAATTGTACGTAAATAACCCTACCGATGAGTCATTTAAAAATTGCAGGAAAATCGAAACTTTAAAAGCGCTCTTCGAGAGCCCAAAAAAGTTAATAGCAAAAAAATTCTTTCTTTTTAGAAAATGCCAACGTGTTGCCGCATAAATCACACGTTGCGCACATACTAAATCACACTTACATATACATATACACATACTTTCATACATATACATATGTATATATGTCATTAAATAGAAACCCAAATTGTTTGACTCAACATTTTTATTGCGATCGCCCTGTAGCCGGCTAAGCTAAGCGAAGGATGAGAGCTTCGTCGCACATCCGTATCTAATTTACCGCCAGCACTCAATTAACACATTAGACACAGCACAACATGACGGAAATTGTTGGCAAACATTGCGAGCGAGGCGAAACTAACTCTGAGCATTCGCTTTGTCAGCTTTGTCCGACACTCGGCTGCTTTACCTGCGCGGAAAGCCTTTCTAAGATGGTTGCGGCAATTTTGTTTTTATTTTTGGGATATAGAAATGTGTGTGCTTTTTTTTTTTTGCAATTTTTTATTTGCATAAATATTTGTGCGTTTTTATATAGAAAAAATCATAAACATACATACACGTATGTATATGTATATGTGTATATTTTTGCTTTTAATTAGCGACGCCAAGGATTTTCTTCCACGAAATTTCTTAAGAAATACGCCAATTGACAGTAAGATGACAACGGTTTACTGCTTGTTGGCCAATTAACAATTAGCAATGTGATTGACATGTCTTCTGCAGGCTTTAAGACAACATATATCTGCATAGATCTGCTTGTTTGACAGCTCCAAATGCTTGCAAATATTTAAGAAATAGCAAAAAGTTTTCTTTGCAAAAATTTCGTAAATAATATTATATATATATATGTATATTTTTGCCTGCATATAACGTCACAGTTATATAAAGGGTGATTTTTTAACTAAAATCTTTTTGGCAACTCGGGTTTAAACAGCTGCCGCACGTTTCGTGCTTTGTGTCACCGTCAAGCATCTTCCGTTTGGTCTATAATTCAACCATGAATCGTCTTACAAACGAACAACGCTGGCGAATTATTGAATTTTAGTATCAAAATGCATGCTCTGTTAAGAAATCTCATCGCGCGCTTCTTTCGTGCGCTCTTCGAAGCTCATTTTTGGCTTAGTGGATGCGTAAATAAGCAGAATTGTGGACTTTGGAGTAAAGATCAACCAGAAGCTTTGCAAGAGCTACCAATGCGTGCAGAAAAAGTCACAGCTTGCTGCGGGCCGGTGGCATCATTGGACCGTACTTCCTCAAAGAAGATGCGAATCGTAACGTAACTGTGATTGGTGAGCGCTACCGTGGTATGATATTAAACTTTTTTGGCCCAAAATGCACAAGCTTGACTTGTATGACGTGTGGTTTCCACTAGACGGTGCCGCATGCCACATAGCAGGCGGAACAATGGACTTATTGAGATGCGAGTTCGGTACGTTTTATTTCACGTTCGAGACCGGTCAATCGGCCGCCTAGATCGTGCGATTTAACGCGTTTATACTATTTTTTGTGGGACTATGATAAATCTAATGTCTATATAAATAAATCCGCCGAAATGTTGGAAAGAGTATGCCAAAATTGGACTATGCGGATGGATCATTTGAGGCGCTGTCACGGTCAGCATTTGCATGAAATTATCTTCAAACATTCAATTATATGGACCGTACTATCGATTCAAATAAGAATTTCATGTATTTTTCTGAATTTTATTTGTTATTTTTTATTTTTGAAAAACTTTCCTATAGCTCTTAAAAACCACCCTTTACATATGTATGTTTGGTGCACTTTTCAGCAACTGTCAATAAATATATGTCAGCAGCTGATGTAAAAATAACATTTTGCTGAATTTTAAATATTTCTGTCAACCGCAATTTATTTATGAAAGAGTTAATTTTTTTAATCTAATGTATATATATAAATACATCTATTAAGTCTAGTAAAAAATAATCCATAATTTTTGCATTAAATTGTTTTTTATTTACCACAGTCAGAATCATATGATTTATTTCAAAATGCATTCTTCTGCCTGATAACTTTAGGCCATTTTGAAAGTAATGTCATAATGCCTCTTCCATAGAAACCCTCGTCTCTATTGGCCAAAAATTTACACCATCGATTTTCGCAGGCTTCTCTCAAGATCAATTCTTCACCAGCCAATTCGGTCGCGATAGATGGGAGCAGGTGGTAATCACTTTGTGCGAGGATCGGACTATAAGATGATTGTGTAAGGACCTCCCAACTAAACTCTCAAAGCTTCGCGCGAGTTACTATCGATGGATGTGGTCTGTTGTTTTCCTGATGCAACTTGATTTCCCTATTTTGGCCAAAGCTAGGCAATTTTGGGCGGTTGCTTCCTTCAAACGATTCAATCGCTAATAGTAAAGGCCCGAATTAAGAGTTTGGTCGGTTGAGAGCTGATTCCTTGTCAATCCAACTAAAAACACAGATAAACTTTCCTTTGCACCAATTCTGGCTTAGAGACCTTCTGTACCGCCCATTTTCAAAGATGAATTTTCGCTACAGGAAGACTACTCTTCTCTTTGCCAAGTGTACCGGCTACCAACCCATTTGAAAAAATCGTATTTACAATGCTTCTTCCTTCCTTCTTTTCACTGTTTGAAGCCAGCCAGGGCAGGCCCTTCTCCATTTGCTCTTCCCAACGGAACGGAAGATCATTCTCTTTCTTTGCTTCCAACGGCTTTTCAAAGTTGGAGTATTTTTTTTTTTCATCGGTACGACATTACCTAGCCAGGGTAATCGCTGTTTCTTGATTCGGTGAACTATATCAATGCAGCCGTATGTCTCGTACAACTTATTCAGCAAAAAAGCTAATGCATGCACTCCTAAGCTTTTTTGTTTTTCATGCGAGCAATTGCTATTCGAACTCATTCACAGTTGGGCAATGAAAACATTTGTTTTATCGCGATAGATTAGCGAGTAGGGTTCACCATATTCTGTTGTTCCATTTAGAAGGCTGGGGGAATCCTGCCTGCATAAATTCAGTAGCTAGATCACCTCTTTGCGTTCTACAAGAGTAAGCCCTTGAACCTTCATGTAAGTCGCCGCATATCCTCATAGAACTTTCTAAGATTGCCTCTATCGGCCAGCTTCACAAGCTCTGCATACTTACGCATCTCGGAATCTTTTTTTATTTATCTGCTTCTCTCTCCAATACTCGATATCTAACGGGATGATGGGTGGTATAATGGTTGATCTTACCCTCACGAGGCATGAAGCCTGCTTTCTCTCCACTGCGGCACGGCAATCTTAATCGTACCAGCTGTTTTTTTTTTTTTTTTTTTTTGCTTTCCCTCCGTGAATATGATATATGTATATATTGTATGTATATGTAGATCAAGTCTATTAAGATAAGAAAGAGGTTTTTCCTCCCCTGTCATACCAAGACCTATTTACTTTTATCTCAAAACCATCGTAATTATTTTGACTATTTTTCTCAATATTTAATATTAATAATTATAAATTACAATATCTCGCATAAAATTCAATTTTATTAATTTTCTCCATTTTTTTCTATTTCCAGAACATGTGCTCGATCTTGCCGAACAGTCTGAGAATAAAACGCTAGCGGTATTTTCGCAAGTCTACCGACGCATGGTGCCACAATCGAGCGAATTGATCCACCAGCTCTATGCTGAAATTATGAAGTAAGTCGGTGAACGATCTCCAGCACATTACAGCAACAAATGTAATAATTCTCTTTACTCTTACAGTCATTTGAGAAACGCGAACAGCAACAGCAATCTGGAAGATGCCATACACAAATTCTTCGTAAATCTCTTTCCGGTTGCGTATCATCAAGCGGTGCATTTGAGTAAGGATAATTACGGTGAATTACATGAGGATTATATCAATTGCTTGAAGCACACATTCGACGATTTGGAACCGTTCGGCAGCATACCAAAGGAAATCAAACGTAATTTACTGCAGAGCATACAGACAGCGACAATCTTTCTGAATTCACTACAACAAAGCGCTGAAGTGCTTAGCGAGACTGATGAATTGTATTCGTCACATCTGACCGATACCTGTCAAAAGCATTTACTCAAGATCAGCTACTGTCCCAGCTGTAATGGTTTGCAGAAGACGCAAGTGAAATTATGCTACAGCTACTGTATGAATGTATATCGGTAAGTAAGGGTGCGGCATGTGGTTTACATACAAGCTGTTCATTTATGTTTATATATATTTCTCCATTTCTGTGGCTTTCAATATTTTACTCTTGAATTCAAAAAAAAAAAAAAAAACTTGTTTTTGTTTCTTCTCCACAGTGGCTGTTCGGCTCAATACGCCGGCGTATTGGATAGCCCTTGGTCCAATGTTGTGGATGCCATTCAGAACTTGGTGACGACACACATACGTTCTGATAGCGGTATTGTGACAACAATTAAACAATTGGATATCAAATTGTCGGAAACTATTATGCGGGCTATGGAAAATGGACCTAACCTAGAAATGAAGGTAAGTGAAATCAAATGGTTGTTGTTGTTGTTGATGTTGTAACCGCAAAAAATATTTCCCCAAAGTACTTTTTGGGGAATGTTGCGGGAGTGACAGTCCTTTGACGGATACAAATCCGTGTCGTTTCGGTATAAAGACCCGACTGTCGCATGGGATTTTAGTCGCCTCTTTCGACAGGCATGTCATATCGCGGGTAAATTCTTGAGCTTTTTCAGCATTTGACTCAATAATTCACAAGCTTTGATTCCTATTAAGAGCTAACAAAAATATGTCCAAGATCAAATCCAGTCCTGAACAATTTAAGAAATTATAAAAAATTTATTTTAAAAACATAAATTCTCTTTACCTTTCATGAACGTGAAGTAGTATAATAACTTTGCTCCGAAGTATTATATACAATATAAGTGATAGAAGAAGGAGAGCTGTTCTCATTGAAATTTGCCCTCAATAAATTGATTGTTTTGTTAGTTGTATGGCATCAGCATCCTCCAATTAAGGCACAAAGCAATCATTAGTCATGACTCTATAGTGTGCTCGGGCCAGGGTTCAAATCCTGGTAGGAATGTCCACTTCTCCGAGTTTTTTCGAGCAAGAAATAAAGGCTTCTCATAAAAAATACCATCAGCCGTTCGGAGGAAAAACATCAAGACGCAAAATCACAAATTGGAGGACGAGCTCGGCTGAAAATCGCTTCAGCGGTAACTCCAGTGACTGTAACATTATAGTCGGCTTTATCATATTTTGAAGAAATATAGACCAATGGTATCCTTTGCTCATAGGGCACACCTAGAAGTGACTTTTTGGGGATATAACGGCCTCTCAATCATTATCATCACTGCGAATGCGACAATTTTTTTATATTAACGCAAAGAGAGCTTAATCACTGAACACTGGGTTCGGTGGCCATCTTTTTTGGACCCTTCCACCGAATGCGCGAAGCTCATAATGGTCGTTCGGCTTCAATTCTTGTACAAGTTGGATTTTGTAAGCCCGAAAACCAAAATCCTTCTAAAATATCTTCTTCTATAAAGTGGCTGGGGACACAGCTCCAATTGTTAGGCGCGATAGCGACTAAACTTATTCGGATCTTCGTCGATACTCTACTCCGCATGGCATCTTTGGCACACACTGTACGTCGTCTCTGAAGCTGCGCATTGCCCACTAAAGTAAACACAGTGTGGAACCGACCGATGGTCGCTCGAATTACCGACTCTACTTTATTGGACACAGCGCACACAGGATGTATCGCGTGAATCGACCCACTAGTTTGGTAATAACCGATTCACAAACGTTGTTCTAGCGTAAGTCTGTTCTTTATGAAATGGCTAACCGAACTGAGTATAATTCAAGTAACAGCTGTCAAAAAGACCAGCTTAGGAAAATATATGACCCCATTGAAAACCTCAAATCTCAAAAAACACAATTTATAATGAATTGCCCATTGGCACTGAAAATCATCAATTGCTGAGAACTAAGAAGATCAGCTGAGACAAATAAATCCACATTTGAAATCTAGCAATCGAATTATGCTAAAAGCTTTATATTCGACAGCTGAATAATTTCTAATTGGATTTTCAGTCATTTCATTTATCTGGTTATTCGGATTTGACGATGGGCAATAAATAATTTATGTTCAAAGATGGTTATCTATCCGAGTTTTTTGGGTTTTGTCGCTGGGAACGTCTTCTCCTCTCAACGAAATACATGGCAACTCTTTTTTCTTTCCATCAATTGAAAGTATGAACTACTTCAAAATTCAAACCGAACCCAAATAAATTTAGTCACATTTGTCTGTCCATTCATCGATCCGTATGTTCATGCAAGAGGATCTAAAAAATAGATTTCTTGGTGTGAAACTGATGGAATATTTCACATCATATCTCAAGGGTGACAAGCAGAAAACGATTCCTACGGTAATCGCGGATCAAAAAGTGGACACTTTGAAATCGGAAATGTCTTGGCCGTTCCGAACTTTTTTTTGGGGGCTCATAAATTGATTGAAAGAAACATTGATCACAAGTGTATATTCTCTGATGGAGACTATTTTGTAGAAGACAACATCAATCATCACCAATTTATCAGAAGCGTTTACTTTTCCCATCTCTCTGGTAATTTTCGAATGCGATTTCTTAAAAATTAGTCCTCCCAAACCGGTAACCCCTCAATCGTTTTGTAACCGTCCAACAATCCAGTAATCGGTAGGAGCAAGCTCTGGAGTATACGTCAATATACTCAGGTAGTTTTTTACCGTTATAACCATTTGAGGCCGAATGTTGTTACATTGCAAAATCCCATTGTCATGCCTTTCAGTCATTTCTGCGCGTTTTTCATGCAATCAATAGTTTCGCCTGGCTTTAACAGCATCCTTCACCTTCAAACTTTTTGGATTGACTCGTTGTTTTTGGCGCTTAAATCATTACTTTTGAAGCGTCAAAACCGCGCTCTGTTTGACTTATCGGCCGGCGCAGATTCACCATAAACTTCCACAAGCATTCGATGGGCTGCAACATCGCTTTTCTTCTAATAAAAATATGAAATCAAAATTTTCCACACTTCTGCGGTTTATTTAAGACAAGTCCAAACATTTTCGAAGAAGTGAAAAAAAGAAATAATGTTGCTTTCAGAAGCAGAATCCGATGCACACTAATTATTGTTGGTAGATGTGAAATCTTTGCAATTAAATTGGTAATCGCTTCCAAGATTGACCAGAACTTGCAGGTGAAGCTACCTTTTGAGAACGGACCGAATTAATTTGAAGCCCCAATAAATTATATCTCAACCTTATGTGCCAGAATTCTATGTAAAAAGGCCTTGTCACCTTGAAATATTATGAGTATTCCGCAACTATGACGACGCAGCGATGCGGATGGATTAATGCAAAATTAATTTGACCTTTCGCCATTTGTGCAATGCAAGGCTTCATTGTTGTTGTTGTTGCTGTTTTAAACAATAATTTAAAAAAAAAATCTATTATGCACCGCAAAGCCAACAATTTCGCTAATCCGACGCCCGGCATGGTGCCACACGGTGCCACTACATTTCCGCTACTGAGAAGCAAATGAAGAGGGTAAAAGGTAGCATCTGAGTTGCATTTCGTTCCTCATCGTTTCATCACTTCATTGTTTCGTGTAATCGAAAATAATTGGTGCACACAACGGCGGATAACTTTTATTAAAGCAGCACCCAGTGGGCGGGCAATACGGGTTGAGATTGCGACGTTTTTGATGGAAGAGCTGATGGGTGGCAACATTCACAGCAGATTCTGTAATACAATGAGTCATACTAGGTCTGATCCAACAATCAAATAAAAAAACAATAAGAGAAAAATATTTTTCTTAATACAAACCAATGGTGAATTTTTAGTCATTTCAGCTCACTTGGAACCTTGAAATATACAAATAAATAATTTTCAAATTATCTAATAAATTTAATAGGCAGTAAGTAAAATATTTCTACCTTCACCTTCATAATTCTACTATACATATATATGTACATATGTATATAAATATTTAAGTATGCAAATCCACACATATTCTCTTAAATGAATATTTTAAACATACATACATACGTTACGTTTGTATAAATCCATATTTTTATTAAATCGAGCCCATGAGGACGTTAGGTGAGGGCGTTTTCATATCTCTGCATGTTTGTATTTATGAACTGCAGACAGTTTAAGCTTGTGGCACGTTGCACATGAAATGCATTTTATTTAAAAATGTAATTGCATACGTCAGTATGTCTGTGTGTTTTGCATGTACAGTGAATGGGCAGCGTGCTTCCTGTGCTTATAAGCATTTACATAAGTGCCTTTTAGTGTTGAGTAAAATATAAAATAAATTGTGGTAATTCTTTTTAATATTTTTACTCTCTTTGATTTTCCTTCTCGGACATTGTTTGAATGTCAAGTTTGTGTTTAACTTACAGTTTTATTATAAACTTACATACATATATATATATATATACATTGCATACGACGCATGTCATCGCCGTAATGCCTGAAGGTGTGCTTGATGATAAACTTAAGTGGCTTTTGAGTGAATTGTTCTTGTAGTTTTCTATTGCACATACACATGTATGCACATACAGCGCCATTGGTCTGATTTAATCGTAAGATGCAATTTTTAATTTTAATAAAATAATCTTGTTGAAGAATTTATTCAAGTGTAGTACTTGTGAAAATAAGTGTTCATTCCAGGCGGAATGATAAATGAATGATAAGATAAAATAAAATAAAACAAAATTAAATTAAATTAAATAAAGTAAAATAAAATTAAAATAAATCAAACTATGTATATAAATTTAAATTAAAAAAATTGTCAAAATTAAAATAAATTAAATAAAAACATGAAAAACATATAATTAAATAAAATTAAAAAATTAAATAAAATATCTTAAAAAAAATAAAATAAAAAGCATAAAATTGAAATAAATTCACCAAATATATTGGGTGTGAAAAAATTGTTATACATTTAATGTTCAAAGTATTGCCCATCGGATGCCATGATGTTTGCTCATTTTTCTGGTAGTTTCTGGATCCCATCCGAAAAGAACTTCTCCGTCTTGGGGGTCAAGAAAGAATCAAGCCAATTTCCGGTACCCTGTTCTGAAGTGAAGCGTACTCCGGTGAGGCAATCTGCATTGATCAGAACAAGTGGTAATTGAAAAGTGCTATGTCTGGACTATAAGGCGGGTGAGATAGAACTTCCCACCCACAATTTTCCAAATAGTTTTTAACTGGCCATGTTGCAATGTGGCCGAGCGTTGTCATGATGAAAAATTATTGATGCATGTCTGGTCGAATATTCTGGTAATTTTTCCACATACGATCTCTTGCGCTTTGGGTTAGCATAATGAATAAATTTTTGACTTCTTTTGGTGGTGTTGGAGGAACATTTCCGACAAGCAGAATCGACGTTCGACGTCTCTTGGCTGGCCAAAGATGAAGACGACGCGAATTAATACATAATATTAATAAATAAAATAAAATAATATAAAAT